ATACTTTCATGATTTTTGTTAAAAACTTAATATTTTCCTTTAAAAGTCAAAATTTTACCAAAAAACATGTTTCAATGTTAAAGAAAGTATGCTTACAGGTTGCAGTTTATGCTGTAGTTTTATTTTCCATAGAAAATTTTCAAAAATTGTTGCAACTAAAAAAGGATTTTATATATCCTTTATTTAAAAATTAATAAAATTTTAATAAAACTTACAGAAAACTATTCAAAATATCAAGTTTAGTTAGTGTACTAAAACTTATAACCATTTAAAAGTTTAATGTGACTAGTTTTTGTATTAATTTAAAAGAAAACTTCAGCTAACTGAGAAAAAATATGCCTACAGGATGTAGTTTAGTTCACTGTTACTATGGTAGGAAAATAGTTTTCAAAATATTTCTCCTTGCAAAAGTTTCCCATATATCCTTTATTTACATAGTTTCACAATTTCTTTAAAATTCAAAGATATGTATGAGAAACTACTCTACTTCCTTGATACTTAAAGAATTTTTGTTAAAAATTTAATATTTTCATTAAAAAGTCAACAATTTTCCAAAAAACCAGCTTCCATGTTAAAGAAATTATTCTTACAGTTTGTAATTCATGCTCTAGTTTCATTTTCCATAGAAAATTTTCAAAAATTGTTGCAATTAAAAAAGTTTTTCATATATCCTTTATTTGAAAATTAACAAAATTTTAATAAAACTTACAGAAAACTATTCATAATATCAAGTTTATTTAGTGTACTAAAACTTATAACCATTTAAATGTTTAATGTGACTAGTTTTTGTATTAATTTAAAAGAAAACTTCAGCTAACTGAGAAAAAATATGCCTACAGGATGTACTTTAGTTCACTGTTACTATGGTAGGAAAAAAATTTTCAAAATATTTATCCTTGCAAAAGTTCCCCATATATCCTTTATTTACATAGTTTCACAATTTCTTTAAAATTCAAAGATATGTATGAGAAACTACTCTACTTCCATGATACTTAATGAATTTTTGTTAAAAATTTAACATGTTCATTAAAAAATCGACAAATTTCCAAAAAACCTGCTTCCATGTTAAAGAAATTATTCTTACAGTTTGTAATTCATGCTCTAGTTTCATTTTCCATAGTAAATTTTAAAAAATTGTTGCAACTAAAAAAGTATTTCATATATCCTTTATTTGAAAATTAACAAAATTTTAATAAAACTTACAGAAAACTATACAAAATATCAAGTTTATTTAGTGTACTAAAACTTATAACCATTTAAATGTTTAATGTGACTAGTTTTTGTATTAATTTAAATGAAAACTTTAGTTAACTGAGAAAAAATATGCCTACAGGATGTAGTTTAGTTTACTGTTACTATTGTAGGTAAAAAATTTTCAAAATATTTCTCCTTGCAAAAGTTCCCCATATATCATTTATTTACATAGTTTCACAATTTCTTTAAAATTCAAAGATATGTATGAAAAACTACTCTACTACCATGATACTTAAAGAATTTTTGTTAAAAATTTAACATGTTCATTAAAAAGTCAACAATTTTCCAAAAAAACTGCTTCCATGTAAAGAAATTATGCTTACAGGTTTCAGTTTAAGCTCTAGTTTTAATTTCTATAGAAAATTTTTAAAAATAATTAAGTCTAAAAAACTTGCTCATATATCCTTTTTGGAAAATTTTAAAAATTTGTATAAAATTCATCAATTTTAGGTCTAACATTTTTCTTGTAATAAAACCATAACCTTCTTGTTCTAAATTTGTTAATAACTTAACCGACATTGACATTTTTCTTTTAGTTTGAACCTTACAAAATTAACTAACAAATGTTAAACTACTCCAGCAAACTTATTGTGTTTTAATTGACTTTGATTCATGACTATAATCATTTAAATATTTTGTTTTTTTATTAATAAATTTTTCCATTTCTGGAAACACTTTACTAATTACTTTTATTCAAGGGTAAACATAATTACCCCAGACTAAATTACTATAACCTAAACTTTATTTTTTTTTTTTTTGTTTTCTTAAATGTATTTATTGTTGTTTCTCTTAAAGCAAAAAATATTTCTATATTTTTTTCTGGTGTACTATCAAATATTTTTGTTGTCACGTCTAATTTCTATAACAACCTTCATACAAATTTACGTTCCGAGAAAAACCTGCCAGCAAACTATGTAAAATAACTACACATACATTTTTAGACGCCTAAAAATATGCACAAAAAGAACTATAAATGACAAAAACCAAAATACAAAACAAAAACGGCAGGAAAAGGAAGAAAGATAACAAAAATAAAATAAAAAAAACAACAAACCAATCAATCAAATTAAAAATAAAACTAAACTACCTTACAGAGAGAGAGAGAGAGAGAAAAATGTCAACAAAATAATTGTTGCTGGTTAACACTTCTCTCTTTACTGACACTTATCAAAATGTAAATGATTGAAATATTTAAATTTAGAATTAAGATTCTGTTGTTGGGTTTTTATAATTCTACTGTTATAAATGTTTAACATTGTACTGACATTGATTTCGGTTTTCCAAGGACTAAATTAGCAGTTTTGTCCATGCTTATTACAAAACACAATTAAATTTTAAAAAGGAACAAATGTTTATTTTTAGAAATTTGAAGGAATTTTTAACTATAGACTAGACTATAGACTAGACTATACACTAGAGTATAGACTAGACTATATACTAGACTATATACTAGACTATATACTAGACTATATACTAGACTATATACTAGACTATACACTAGAGTATAGACTAGACTACAGACTAGACTATAGACTAGACTATAGATAGACTATAAGACTATAGACTATAGACTAGACTATAGACTAGACTATAGACTAGACTATAGACTAGACTATAGACTAGACTATAGACTAGACTATAGACTAGACTATAGACTAGACTATAGACTAGACTATAGACTAGACTATAGACTAGACTATAGACTAGACTATAGACTAGACTATAGACTAGACTATAGACTAGACTATAGACTAGACTATAGACTAGACTATAGACTAGACTATAGACTAGACTATAGACTAGACTATAGACTAGACTATAGACTAGACTATAGACTAGACTATAGACTAGACTAGACTAGACTAGACTAGACTAGACTAGACTAGACTAGACTAGACTAGACTAGACTAGACTAGACTAGACTAGACTAGACTAGACTAGACTAGACTAGACTAGACTAGACTAGACTAGACTAGACTAGACTAGACTAGACTAGACTAGACTAGACTAGACTAGACTAGACTAGACTAGACTAGACTAGACTAGACTAGACTAGACTAGACTAGACTAGACTAGACTAGACTAGACTATAGACTAGACTAGACTATAGACTAGACTAGACTATAGACTAGACTAGACTATAGACTAGACTATAGACTAGACTATAGACTAGACTATAGACTAGACTATAGACTAGACTATAGACTAGACTATAGACTAGACTATAGACTAGACTATAGACTAGACTATAGACTAGACTATAGACTAGACTATAGACTAGACTATAGACTAGACTATAGACTAGACTATAGACTAGACTATAGACTAGACTATAGACTAGACTATAGACTAGACTATAGACTAGACTATAGACTAGACTATAGACTAGACTATAGACTAGACTATAGACTAGACTATAGACTAGACTATAGACTAGACTATAGACTAGACTATAGACTAGACTATAGACTAGACTATAGACTATAGACTAGACTATAGACTAGACTATAGACTAGACTATAGACTAGACTATAGACTAGACTATAGACTAGACTATAGACTAGACTATAGACTAGACTATAGACTAGACTATAGACTAGACTATAGACTAGACTATAGACTAGACTATAGACTAGACTATAGACTAGACTATAGACTAGACTATAGACTAGACTATAGACTAGACTAGACTAGACTATAGACTAGACTATAGACTAGACTATAGACTAGACTATAGACTATAGACTAGACTATAGACTACACTAGACTATAGACTACACTAGACTATAGACTACACTAGACTATAGACTAGACTATAGACTAGACTATAGACTAGACTATAGACGAAACAATAGACTACTCTATATACGAAACTATAGACTAGTTTATAGACTAAACTATACACTATACCATAGACTAGGAAATGGAATAAACTGTAGACTAGATTATAACCTAGACTAAAGACTACACTATAAGCCAGACTTTAGACTACACTATAGACCACACTATTGTCTTTTCTATAATCTAGACGGTTTAATTCTGTTATTTAACCAATAAACATATAGTTGTAACAAATTATTTTCAATTTCATGCTTATCCAACCAACAAAGATCAATGGAGAATGTAATACAGATACATACATACATATGTATGTAATTATATGTATGTATATATTTATATATTGCTACACCTTAACCACAATGACACATAAATATCATGCATTACCAAACTTAAGTTTCTCTTGACCCCTAACAGAGTTATTTCACACATGCAGACAAGTGTGAGAATTATTTTGTTTGTGTCGGAGTGTTTGTGAAACCACAACTTCATTATAATTACAGTGACTACTTATGTTAACGAACATTGTGGTCATTATGAGCAAAAGACAAACAACAAATAAATTAACTAGTCGATAGTAAACTGAGTCCTTTTTCGTCTTTACCCTTTTCCGAACCTACATCCGTTTGTGTAGGTGTGGACTTATAATGTGGTTTTAAAGTGAATGTAATGGTACATACATATGTTTTTATGTAGATTTTTAGATTTTGGTATATGTTTTAGAAATATAACTAAAATTTTATTAACCGAATTAAAGTGACCTTTATGTAAAGCTATAATTATGTTTATATGTTTATGATTGTCAGTTATCTTATTTCAAGATTTTAAAATAGTATTTTAATCTTTTTTACATTTTGTGTAATTCATTTGTTAATTATCTTTATGTGTTACTTTTTTTTTCTTTTTAGGTAAGTGCTGTTATGATCTTATGTTATTTTGCACTAAAAATAAAATACTTTTTGAAAAATATGTAAGTTTTTGTATTAAAATATCATTCAATTATCATTAAATTTTTAATGAATATAATTGTAAGTTACATAACTTTTGCATAATTAAAATGTAGCAAAAACCCTGAGTACAATATTACCTGAAAGAAATACAAACATGTGTGTATGTATGTTGATACAGATACAAAATTTACACAAACATTACATGCATACACTAAGCTTACATACCTACTTATTTAAATACTTTTTTACTATAATTATTATTTGTATAAAGTTATACATATGTACATATATAGTTTAATTCTCATTTGATACAAACTTTTTGTATGAGTTTTACAATTCGTGTGAGTATTTGATTATATTTTGTATTATTGTTGTTATTTTTTGTTTCAAAATATTAACATTTATTACAAAGTTGATAGAAATAAAATGTTAATTAGCAAAATTATTTAAATAAAAAAATAGTAAATGTTTCTGTAAAGGTCGAATTTTCGTTTAATATCTTTCGTATAGAAACCTAGACTATAGAATTCAATATAGACTTAACGATAAATTAGACTCTAAAGTAAGCTGCAGACTAGACCAGACTAGACCAGACTATAGACAAGACTATAGACTAGATTGCAGACTAGACTGTAGACTAGACTGTAGACTAGACTAGACTAGATTAGACTAGACTATAGACTAGACTATAGACTAGACTATAGACTAGACTATAGACTAGACTATAGACTAGACTATAGACTAGACTATATAGACTAGACTATAGACTAGACTACTAGACTAGACTATAGACTAGACTATAGACTAGACTATAGACTAGACTATAGACTAAACTATAGACTAGGCTATAGACTAGACTATAGACTAGACTATAGACTAAACTATAGACTAGACTATAGACTAGACTATAGACTAGACTATAGACTAGACTATAGACTAAACTATAGACTAGGCTATAGTCTATAGTCTATAGACTAGACTATAGACTAGACTATAGACTAGACTATAGGCTAGACTATAGACTAGACTATAGGCTAGACTATAGACAAGACTATAGGCTAGACTATAGACTAGACTAGACTATAGACTAGACTATAGACTAGACTATAGGCTAGACTATAGGCTAGACTATAGACTAGACTAGACTATAGACTAGACTATAGACTAGACTATAGACTAGACTATATACTAGACTATAGACTAGACTATAGACTAGACTATAGACTAGACTATAGAATAGACTATAGACTAGACTATAGACTAGACTATAGACTAGACTATAGACTAGACTATAGACTAAACTATAGACTAGACTATGGACTAGACTATAGACTAGACTATAGACTAAACTATAGACTAGGCTATAGACTAGACTATAGACTAGACTATAGACTAGACTATAAACTAGACTATAGACTAGACTATAGACTAGACTATAGACTAGACTATAGACTAGACTATAGACTAGACTATAGACTAGACTATAGACTAGACTATAGACTAGACTATAAACTAGACTATAGACTAGACTATAGACTAGACTATAGACTAGACTATAGACTAGACTATAGACTAGACTATAGACTAGACTATAGACTAGACTATAGACTAGACTATAGACTAGACTATAGACTAGACTATAGACTAGACTATAGACTAGACTATAGACTAGACTATAGACTAGACTATAGACTAGACTATAGACTAGACTATAGACTAGACTATAGACTAGACTATAGACTAGACTATAGACTAGACTATAGACTAGACTATAGACTAGACTAAGACTATAGACTAGACTATAGACTAGACTATAGACTAGACTATAGACTAGACTATAGACTAGACTATAGACTAGACTATAGACTAGACTATAGACTAGACTATAGACTAGACTATAGACTAGACTATAGACTAGACTATAGACTAGACTATAGACTAGACTATAGACTAGACTATAGACTAGACTATAGACTAGACTATAGACTAGACTATAGACTAAACTATAGACTAGACTATAGACTAGACTATAGACTAGACTATAGACTAGACTATAGACTAGACTATAGACCTAGACTATAGACTGACTATAGACTAACTATAGACTAGACTATAGACTAGACTATAGACTAGACTATAGACTAGACTATTAGACTAGACTATAGACTAGACTATAGACTAGACTATAGACTAGACTATAGACTAGACTATAGACTAGACTATAGACTAGACTATAGACTAGACTATAGACTAGACTATAGACTAGACTAGACTATAGACTAGACTATGGACTAGACTATAGACTAGACTAGTCTAGGCTAGTCTTTAGATTAGTCTCTAGGCTAGACTTTACACGAATCTTTAAATTAGACATTGGACTAGTGTTTAGACTAGAATTTAACTAAAACTTTTTACTGTTTTTTAAATATTTTTTAAAAAATGTGTTCCCTTTAAAATTCTTATAAATTAACGCCTTTTGATACTCTACTCATACGTGTTTATCACTCTATTTTATATGCTTAGCAGCAATAGTACCTCTTACCGTTCATAGACAATTGAATGTAAATAAAATATATGCGAAATAAAGATAAAATTACATTACGCACTCTTGTGTTATATATGTTAAATATCCTTTACATTTTATGTTTTTTTCTGCATACAAATGATTTTACTATTCAACTTACGAGATATATTTTCTTTACAAATTCATTCATTCATTTATATTTCATACATTCTATAATAAAAAAGGGTAATTTCCTGCTACTGTAACAGTAGCAGCAAAAGGAAAATGTTACTGTCGCTGTTCTTGTTTTTGTTATTCTTAGTAATTCTTTTTGTTGTTGATTTTTTTATTAAGAATCCTGCCAGACCAACAAAAAAATCTCTATTTCACCTTGCATCTCTTGAATATAATAATTTTTCTAGATGAATAAAATCATATTGTACTTCTGACTAAATAAAGGCATGAATGAATGCGTTACTGAGTAAGTGAATGAATGAGTGACTAAATGTTTGACTGTCTGTCTTAGTGACTGACTGCCTGCCTATTTGTATCATTTGTCGTTTTCTTTTTCATGTTGTTCATATTTTATGGACGAACGTACAACCTGCATTCAAGGGTAACAAAGTTCATTTCATTTCGTACTTTTTATACACATAAGTAAAGTGTGTATGTAAATATCTGTACGTATGTGTGTATGTTCAAGTAAGTGACTTTTAGGTTCCCCTCATTCTTGATGGTGTGATTTGAAGTATTTTAAAGGTGAAGTTGTTGTTATTTCTTTTGTTATTGTTGTTGTTGTTGCTGATTCTCAAGTGTCTTATAGTCTAGGTTGCTTACAATATACTGAGTTACTGAGTTTACACTTTTTCCCCATTTTTTTTTCGAATAAAGAAAAAATAAAACGTTTTTTTATTTTTACACAAAAAGGTTAATCATGTAAATTTTTTTTACTTGCAAATAATACTGTGTTTCTTTTTTTCTTGCTAAATTGTCTGGCTTCAAGACAAATACAAAAAAAAAAAGAAATCATGTTTTAAAAACAGTATCTCCGGTGTGCGTTCATTTGACAGTTAACAAGTACATACACATAAATGCTAAGTATCTAGATGTCTCTCACTGGTTATACTTACTCAATGATGGGGTTGAGTACCCTACACTTTACTTGTTGGGTGGTAAAATTTGGAGGGAAACTGAAATTTTGTGTTAAAGCCCAGCTTTAGTACTGTACATAAAATAGACTAAAGCCTCGACTAAAGCGTAGACTACAGACTAGACAATTGGCCTGACTATAGGCTACACAATATACTAGACTATAGACTAGACAATATACTAGACAATAGACCAGAAAAAAGAGTAGACAACAGACTAGACTATAGACTAGAGTATAGAATTACCTACAGACTAGAACATAGACTAGACTATAGACTAGAGTATAGAATTACCTACGGACTAGAACATAGACTAGACTATAGACCAGACAATACACTAGACTATAGACTAGAATATAGATTAGACTATAGAATTGACTATAGACAAAACTATAGACTAGAATATAGATTAGACTATAGGCTTGACTATAGACTTGACTATAGACTTGACTATAATCTAGACTATAGACTAGAATATAGCCTACACTAGACTATAGACTAGACTATAGACTAGACTATAGACTAGACTATAGACTAGACTATAGACTAGACTATAGACTAGACTATAGACTAGACTATAGACTAGACTATAGACTAGACTATAGACTAGACTATAGACTAGACTATAGACTAGACTATAGACTAGACTATAGACTAGACTATAGACTAGACTATAGACTAGACTATAGACTAGAATATAGACTAGACTATAGACTAGACTATAGACTAGACTATAGACTAGACTATAGACTACACTATAGACTAGACTATAGACTAGACTATAGACTAGACTATAGACTAGACTATAGACTAGACTATAGAGACTATAGACTAGACTATAGACTAGACTATAGACTAGACTATAGACTAGACTATAGACTAGACTATAGACTAGACTATAGATAGACTATAGACTAGACTATAGACTAGACTATAGACTAGACTATAGACTAGACTATAGACTAGACTAGACTATAGACTATAGACTAGACTATAGACTAGACTAGACTATACTAGACTAGACTAGACTATAGACTAGACTAGACTATAGACTAGACTAGACTATAGACTAGACTAGACTAGACTATAGACTAGACTAGACTAGACTATAGACTAGACTATACTATAGACTAGACTATAGACTAGACTAGACTATAGACTAGACTAGACTAGACTATAGACTAGACTAGACTATAGACTAGACTAGACTATAGACTAGACTAGACTATAGACTAGACTATAGACTAGACTATAGACTAGACTATAGACTAGATACTATACTAGACTAGACTATAGACTAGACTATAGATTAGACTAGACTATAGAGACTAGACTATAGACTAGACTAGACTAGACTATAGACTAGACTATAGACTAGACTATAGACTAGACTATAGACTAGACTAGACTAGACTATACTAGACTATAGACTAGACTAGACTATGACTAGACTATAGACTAGACTATAGACTAGACTATAGACTAGACTATAGACTAGACTATAGACTAGACTATAGACTAGACTATAGACTAGACTATAGACTAGACTATAGACTAGACTATA